TATCCTCTTTCACCGTCACAGACTGAGCCCGACAAGCACTTCTCTAATTGGTTTTAAGAGCTTTTCGTGTTCTGAAAAATGTGTAAAACTTCAAGTGCTTTATTTTCTTGGGGTTGAACCGAGCCTTCTGCACACCAAAGCAGAGACTCCTTAAGTCCTGAAATCGGAAGAATCTAAACTAAAAGTCTCGGTTTAACCTCTGATGCTCTCCAACACGCTGATCTCACGGCGCCTCGGCGTGGTGGTTTGTTGGTCAGACTTACTGAAACTCTGAGATTTACAAAGATTTTGGTCCAATTCATTTAAAATTCAGTTTATTTCACTCCAAAAATGTTTTAATGACTCAGGATTTGGATTCTTTCACTTAATTGCTGACTCATTAAACTCAGAAATTCCAAACCTTTTCCAAGACAACACGTAAACTAGCCAAACAACCTCCAGACCCTCTGGACCTCCTCAGCAACCACGAAGAGAACCGCCAAGCGAAAGGAACCATTTCCTGATTTTGCAGCAGTAAAATGGCCGTCTCTGTACAGAAAGCACATCAACGTTTCAGTTTTATCCACGATTCTGGAGTTGATGGTAAAAACGGTTCATTTATGGTTCCTGGGTTTAAAAAATGTACTTCCAGATGTTGTTGAACAAAAATGTACACACCAGATGGGAAAAAGGTCTGCTCTGAGAAACTACCAGAATGTTTTAGACAAACCAAAACCCCACGAGGAAGTCCCAACAAACGCCACAAAACATTGCTCAACGTGTTTGGAGTGAAATTCTCTGGATTGCTTTCTCACTCGTCTTTTTCTTGGAGCGTTGAAACATTTTGTCGAGAAGTTAAATCTAAGGGGACGGCCAACTGGAGCGAGATCAGAGGCGTGTCGGAGAAAGTGCGTTTGAGGTGAAGATCCTGTTGTTCCAGCCTCATTCACACATGGCACCAGGTGAGCGGTGCTCTGAACACCTTTACGTCTGAGTCGCATTCTAAATGCTGAAACTGTTCTGAGCTCAGATGACGGATAAGAAGATGGAAAAAGGAGAAACAACAACCCACAGAGCCTTCAGGGGCTCAAACACACAAACGTCTGGTTTCTTGCACAAAAGCAACGTGGCTATTCGGTTGGAATTTTTCAGGAATTTCATGGCAGTTTTTAGTTATGTGGGTTTGTTTTGCGGCTCAGACATTGTTTTCTTCTTGGAAGCGTTAAAGAAGCATCTCAGTCTAAATACAGAACTTGGCCTCCGAGAAATGTTTTCACCCACTGCTGCAGGTTTAGTTTGTCAGCCTGGAGGAAAACACCTCCAGAGATAAGACAAGATTCATATCAGACATGAAAAATAATGTTCTCAAGAACCAGAACTGGGTCCTGCTCCAGCTCCTGTTTGTGCAGAGATAGACGTTTTTAATAAATGCATTTAAACAAATCTGCGGTTCTGCTCAGACAGGAAACAGCTGATTCAGTAACAGGAAAACATAAAAGTTCAAGAAGCGATCCTAAAGCTGCAGAGCTCCTTTGATAGCAGGAGTTTCACTTTTAAAATGTCAACCCCAGGATGTCGTCGCGGTAAATAACTAAAGCACTCTCCTGTTACCATTTTCTACAATATTTATTTTCATGCAGAAAATGCGAGAAAGCGAAGTTAACAAATGTGGACGCTGGTCCTGTTCTGGTGAAAGAAATCCCACAATCAAAAACACACAAACAAGTTAAATAAACATTCATTTTGAATAATATAGATAATCATAAGAAACTTTAGAATAATCTAGATAAATTTAGAACAGTATATCAGTGTAGAATGTTACAGAAGATGGTAAATAGTCTGTATTTGATGCAGCGCCTTCTAGAGTCCTGGAACCCCCCAAGGCGCTTTACAGCACAGTCAGTCAATCACCCATTCACACACTGGTGGGGATGAGCTACGATGTAGCCACAGCTGCCCTGGGGCGCACTGACAGAGGCGCCGCCGGTCCCTCCGACCACCACCAGCAGGCAAGGGGGGTTAAGTGTCTTGCCCAAGGACACAACAGTGGGGTTCGAACCCGCAACCTTCCGATTACGGGACAAGCTCTTTACTCCTGTGCCACGTCGCCCACAATTATTAAATAATGTAGCATATTTTTATAAAAACAGATAACCGAAACTTGTATTTTATTATTGAACATTAGAAACCATTTCTAATTGAATGTAGATTATTAGAAGATTTTGGAATATTTGAGGATCTGCCTCAACGTCATCTTCATCATCATCATCATCATCATCTTCATCATCTTCATCATCATCAATGATGGCCAGATTAACTGGCACAATAATTGTCCTCTATTGTCCTTAGTTTAAAAGTGCAAAAATATTCAACATTGTAATTGTCATTATTCCTCTTACCATGATTTCACCAACTTTATAGAGTTATACATTTACAACACATATTTCCTTATTTAGCACAACTAGTCAACCTTGTGATGGGAGAGTTTCGTAAACTTAGCTTTGTAAGTTTTAGAGATCTGATCGTTTTCTGGTTCTGCAGACACACCGATACTTGGCGCTCCATAGGCCCGTGCTGATTGGTCGAACTACACCATGCAACTAGCTTGATCTCTGATGATTGGTTGGGTGAAATCCCATTATTCCAAGCATCTGTGAAAAGGCACACTGACATCATTTATGTTGTGAGTGGAAGTGCTACAGATGCTGGCCCTGGGAAGGATTAAAATGCTTTTAGAAGACAAAAGTTTCTATTAGTGCAAAACCGTCAACAGCGCTACACTTCTGCAGAAAGTTCAGCTCAGTCCTGAAAAACAGGCTGATTGGGGCCATTTTAAGTCTTTGTTGAAGTCAGTTAGTGAGAATGTAAGAGTTTTGTAGTTCACAACATATTTTTAGACAAAGAAGGTTTCCTGTAGCAGTTTTTGGTCAAACTTCTAACTTGACCAGTTTGCACATGGAGCGTGTTCTGAAGGTCTCTCAAATATCTGAAATTTTAGCTCAACATCTGAAACGTCAAGCGAGTTATGGCCACTTCTGTTTGTGCTGAGGCTGATTAGCTGTGACGGCCATCTTGAATCAGGTCCAGCCAATGGTTCATCAGATAATTTGCTTACAGACGAACAAGCCCAACGATGCACCATAACAAATGCTCACAGTCTGCAAAATATAGCAGATGCAGAGATAACCTCAAACACACAAGCGTGTCCTTATCTCTGCCATTTTAAAACAGGTTGGTTGGCATAGATGCCGAGTTTTCTGTGTCCAGATCATCCCAGCGTCTCATGAACTGCACTCCTACAGTGGAACCTGTAGCAGATCGTCTGAACTGCAGACAAAAATAATGCAACGATGACCTAGGGTGACCCAACGCTGGAATGCACGTCAGCAAACCAGCCCTTTCCGTCCTGTTTATGACTTTTATATGAAGCACAAACATCTCAGCTGCCATCTGCAAGAATCCAACGACAGACAACGAGCATGTTAATGATTGGCCTGGTCATGACTGCATGGAGCCAATAAAAGTGTTTGAGTTAGTGCTCATGCTCACAATCACACATGCATGCATCCGTGCGCGCACACACACACACACACACACACACACACACACACACACACACACACAATAAGAGGTATTTTACCTGCAGCATGCACTTAATGCTGTGAAATGTTCTTGTATCTCTGTGTGATTGCCAATATCATTCTGTTTAAAATGCAAATAGAAACTTTTATGTTTTATGAGTATATTAAGGTATAGATGGATGGATGGATGGATAGAGAGAGAGAGAGAGAGCGAGAGAGAGAGTTTTCAAATCAGTAAATCGAGTTTTAAGGTAAACAATGTGCTGTAGTAGTAAAACTGAAATGTTTTTGCTGTTGCAGTACGCCCTCTTGTGGTGGAAATCCACTAGTGCTTGTGCTGGGATCTTCCTACCTTGACCTGACAAACTGCGCGTGTTCTCCATACTAAATGCTCCCAAAATTCCCAGATTTAGAATGTTTTGCTGGTTCAGGGTCTCTAATTAAGGGTTTGGTCCTGAATAGGTCATAAATTCATTAGTAATGCAAATGTTATGGCAAAAGAATGAGTAACAGCTCACATCTTCAGTTTTCAGAAACACATTTCATTTAATTGTACTTGGAAATTTCTACTGAGGCTGATTTTTGCTCATTTTTCTTCACTACCTGGTCGTGATGGCGTCTTCTGCAATGTAAGTGTAAAAAATAAAAGCAATGAAAGAGTAGAGAACTACTGGTTCACAACAACTCTTTTAGTCACTTTCCTGTTGCTTCCGTCAAATTTTCTGTTAGTTAAACTGTTATTTATGGTATTTTCTATCAATTCAAACAAGCTTCTGGAAAAGCACCAGAAACGATGGTCCATCCCTTGAGTTATGAAGCTTTTTATGTCCATTTTGGAACCATCTATTGATGCACTTTGAGTAAATCATTCATTCAGTCAGGATGCAAACAATAGTGTCAACAACTGCAGCTTTTTTCAAATTGCTTTAGCTCAGGGGGGTCCAATCCTGGTCCAGGAGGGCCAGTATCCAGCATGTTTTAGTGGTTTCTCTGCTCCACTACACTTGATTGACTGGTTGAATCACCTGTGCAGCAGCTCATCGGCTCTGCAGAAGCCTGGTAATCATCTGCTGATTGAAACCAGGTGTGTTGAAGCAGTTTAAAACTAAAACATGCTGGATGGCGGCCCTCCAGGACCAGGATTGGGCACCCCCGATTTAAGCTGGTAAATCTCAGGAAAATGTCTTTGTTCTAAACATTTTAGCTGCTCATTTCCACACAAGAATCCTTATTGACTTCTCTTTTTTAACATATAACCCAGAGCAGGACTTAAAGACCATTTTCTGCAGGTTGGCTGCTCCTGCACACCTGAATGACCTCATAGCCATGATGGGTTAATTCCTCATTCGTTTAAATCAGGGAAGCGGCTAAAATCTGCAGGACGCAAGCCGTCGTTTAGTCCTGGTGATGCCTGATCTACAGGAAAATAAAACACAGGCATTAAATTGCACCAAAAACATGTTTTATTCTATAAAAGGAGACTGAGGGGTGGGGCTGAAATAATCACAACTGTACAGGAGAAACTGACTTTTAAACACCATGAGTCACCATATCAAAAAGCTCACGTTCTCGCTGATCTTCACACATTTGTTCTGTACAAATTAAAAAACAGAAAAAATATTATTAATAGTTGTATTATTATGATAAGTACATTGCACTGAGTAAATACACTACTGGCCCAAAAGTTAACGCATTCATTAGAAAATACCAGCGGGTTTCGGTATTTTGCAGAAGAAGCGAGTGGTGGCGAGTCGAGGCACTCGCACGCAGACGGACAGTCAGGGCGTCCCTCAGGGACACGAACTCTGTCCTCTTAAGGTCTCAGCAGGAATAAAACTTCTCATGTCAACATTCCTGCTGTACAGCAAAACAAATACTGAACAAATACAAACAACCAGAAGCAAGAACAAATAAAGAGCACGTTTGAACTCTGGCACCAAACAGATTTCTCTGGGTCTTCATCAGCAGGTTCTTCTGGGTACTGACTCCCCATCGTCCAACTCTGTGGGTTTATCCTTTAGGAATTTGTTTAAAATAAAGAAGCTGCTGATTTTTTATTTGATTTAATCAGCAGATTATTTTACTAATATCTGCTCCTACGTGGGATAAATGAAAGACATTCAAGGTTATTCACGATCCAAATGACATTTTTAAGGGTTGGTTAAATTTTGACTGACAAGATTTAGTGGTTAAAGGCTGTTTTGATACTTTTATGTGAAATTTCTGCAAACGAGGGCTTCATCTTCACCTTTAAACAGAAAAAAATCACACAAACATCTGACTTTGGATGGAAGTTCTGGAGATGAACACAATTCAAACTTCTGGCTCGTAGGGATGAAAGTAGCCTGAACAGAAAACAAAAGACGCTCCAATATCGCTGAGGACAACTTAAAAAGTTTCCAGACACAGTTTGAGTAAACACAAGTGAAAGTCGGTAAATCCTGTGTTTTTGAGGATTACGCGGCATTAAATTAGCCTCAAACGTCGAAACTTGTAATAAAAGGAATTAATGAACCATTTTGTTTGATTTAGCAACAAAAGTGAATAAACTTGATGAGAAAACGCAGAAATGAAACATAACTGTCAGATTTTGAACATTTTTAGTGTTGCTAATTTAATTAGCTACAAGCTGACCAAATATTTCATAAACATTTTGGCAGCCATGTTGGATCTTGTTATAGTAGGAACAACGACTTTGTTTGACACTTCTTTGTAGTAAACACCAAATAAATAAAGTTCTGAGCTGAAATGGAAAGGTCCGCGGTCACTAACAAGCTGTTAGCTTTGGAAAATCTTTAAAAAATGCTTTGAAATATTTTTCTGTTTGATGCATTTACGATGAAGAGACTCGGTGCCGATGGAAGAGCTCTAATGCTACCAGGAAGCAGCTCCTCTCCTAGCTAAAATCTAACTTGAATCGTGGTTTTGCTCAGAAGAAACGTGCTTTAACATTTCTATGCTTGGTTTCTTCTGAAATGCTCTTTAAAAAAGTAGAAACTGCTTTAGTTTTCAGCCACTTCCTGTTCCGGTTTTTGCTTTCAGACCAGACACAAATTAAACGTCGCACCAAGAATTAGAACCAGGTCCGGTGACGACGTAACAAGCTCTCTTAGCTTAAAAGAGTAAAATAAAACCCTGTTGAATTTAATAAAAACTACTTTTCCCCCAGTTGGATCATCAGCCTTTAGGGACCCCTTTCTCTCTCTCTCTCACACACACACACACACACACACCCACACACACACATCACTAAAAGGAAAAAACAAGGTTGTTTCCATGCAACACAAGTTTGCACAACACAAGTGGGGTCGTTTTCTTTTTTTAAGAAACTACAAAACAAATGAATTAGATCTGGAGAAAAACAAAACATTTTTCATCAAACCAACAAAGGAAGAAGACTTTTTCACATTTTCTAGTCAGTGTTAAAAATAGAAATTCACCCGTTACATTAACTCTGCACTTTTTGATTATTTACATTTATTTACATGGATCTATTTTAATTATTTGTTCTTAACGTCTTTATCAACAGTTAAAAAAGAAAGAAACTTGCAATCAAATGCATATACTCTGCTAGAAAGATGTGCTTAGTAACTTCTGTTATCTTGAAGCGCGCGGGGGCAATCAGGAGACATGGCGTTGCTGCTCGGCACAGCTCAAAAGAACAAAATCCACCCGAAAAGAAAGTCTGCAGGTAGAAGTTGGTCTAAAGCTGCTCCTAACCCCTCTAGAGGAATAAAAGCTCATAAATCGATGGACCAGAAAACAACCTGCCTTCGTTTTGGCGTGCACCCGGCTCACAGGACGCCTGCATCTGCACCTTACCCACATTTAGCTCCTCGCTCAGAGGAACACACCAGGAAGATGAAAAACAATTCATCTGATCAACAACTAAAGGGAATTCTGGTCACTTTGACTCGTTTTTGTGTAAAACTTCCCATCTAACCCATTAGATGGCTTCCTGACAAGCCTCAGTTCAGAGAAATGGAGTTTTAGTTCCGCATTGAGCTAACAGCTAGTCTGAGCGCAGTCAAATCAGAGTGTGTTGCAGTTCATGCAATAATAAACCTTTACACCATTGTCGAGTTATTTATGTGGAATTGTCGGATTATTCAACGGCGTAAATGTTTTACAGTAAAATACATCAAATACAGTAATCTCCCCGTTTCCTGGTGGAAATAAAAACAAAGTTAAATAACTGTAAAATAAAGCTGTAAAATTTTACATTTGCACAAGAGTTGAGCGTTTACAGTCTGACTAGCCGTTAGCCCATCAATCCTGATGATGATAATCCTCAAGATTCCGATTTTTTTAATGTTATTTCACTCAGTGTCATTAATTCAATGTCTAAAAAAAGTCTCACAATTTCTTCCATAAAATACTCCTTTAAGGGTTGAGTTTGTGCAAGTTCCTGTTTGCGGTTCTCGTAAATCTGCTTTCAGTTTTTCTGGCTTGGCTCTGAGATCAAAGCAGCCAACATCTCTCTGAGGTTCCTGGGAGGTCCGACGACCAGCTAGAGCTCTACTACTGAGACCAGAGCAGCACGTGGAGCGAGGTCTGCGTTTTGTTGCATAATCAAGTTTCGCCTGGATCGGGGGCTGAAAAGCAGCCCACTTAAGACGTGGACACTGTGGGTCAGGGAGCAGGGCCAGAGGGGGGGGGGGGGGGGGGGGGGGGGGGGTCGGTTCTGCTCCCAAGCATCTGAAGGTTGTGCTGATCGGGTCGAAGGTCAGCACGGACATGAAGCATTAGGAACTGTTTCTGAGAGAATCGACCCCCGTTGTGGAAATGCCAGTGACGAGAGCGCTTTAGTTTAAAACCCGCAGGCATGATGGACCCTGACAGCCCGACACAGTGCCTAGTTTCCCCCAGAACCACAGAGAGTCGACCCGGAACTTGGATTTCTGGATCTCACCTTTTCTAAACCAGAACGAACGGTTTTTCCACAGCTGGCTGTCTGGGAGTAGCTGATTTTTGACTCAGAACGTTTTGTTAGAACATCCTCACGCCGTCGACTTCCAGAGATTCCCAGAGATAACCCTCACGTTCTAAATGTAGTGGAAAGAAAAAGGGATTCTCTAAATCTGTTCTTGTCGTGATCCCAGTTCCGTCGTCTCTCTGTGGTTCTGGTTTCGCCCTTACAGACTTATTAAGGCTCAACGGGCCAGAGGTAAAAGAACAACACGTGCCCGGAACACACACACACTCATAAAAACCCTTAGATTATGTGTTCTTGTCTCAAAACTCACACAAACACACACAAAAGCTCCCGCTCTTCCCTGCATGGAAAAAAAAGAAACTTTTTCACAGCCTCAGAAAACAACCAAAGGACTTTTTTTTGTTTTTGATTTAAAAAAAAAAGACGCCATCCTATTCAGAGGTGGCAGAAACAAAAGCGGGTGCACCGGAGGCCGTCCTATGAAAAAAACACCAACGGCGACGCTTACAAAGCAAATACTGTCATCAAAACGGTGTGTGTGTGTGTGTGTGTGTGTGTGTGTGTGTGTGTGTGTGTGTGTGTGTGTGTGTGTGTGTGTGTGTGTGTGTGTGTGTGTGTGAAACACAACAGTGGGACCAATACACTAAAACATTTTTAAGCGAGTCTTTATGAAGTTCACAGTCTCGTAGCTCCATGTTTTATCCCGACGTCACTTCAGCTGCTGAAAAACAAATTCCCTTCATGGAATCCCACGAAGGGCCGATCCAAATCTAAATCCGCCTCTGACTTTCCAGAGCACCAAACCACTTCCCAATTCCGCATTTGATTTCCTTAATAACCCCAGAATTTCGACAAACGTGAGTTTTTAACAAGTATTTACCTAAAACAGGTGAGGATTTGAAGTGAATTGACTTTTTTCCGTTTGCAGCCGTTCTCCTGAGTGTCAGCTCTCCCTCTGGTCTGGTAAAAGCAGAACGTTTATTTGCAAAGTTTTTGAATCATCTGTTGAAAATTTCATGAAATTTTTCACCAAAGACAAAAAAAAAAAATCGGACTCGGCGTCCACAAAGGTTCCTTTGCTGTTTGTTTGGAGCGATTCCTGCTCCGTGGTCTCCTGGTGGACTCTGAAAATCCCCAGAATTAAACATTTAACGAGGAGAAGAGCAGCTGAAGTGACGTCCATGTTCAAATAAAATAAGAATTTAAAACCAACAGGCGTCCCGTTCTCCTCCTTTGGATGGATTGAAGGATGGATGGATGGATTTTTGAGCGTCCCTGCTGCTGAGTCGGTCCATCCTTTTCCCTCCAACTCTGCAAACTGAGTTCAGGACAATGGAGGAACTCTGGGGTTGAGCCGTGATGATAATTATTATTCCCACCATGCATGAACACAAACGCACAGACACAGTCCCATTTATGCTCTGGTTTCAGCATGGAGACAAGCGGGAAACGTCCCTCTCCTCAGCTGCAGACTGGGTTTAAAATCCGGCAGGATTAAAGAGGCTCGGGGCTTCGGTGCAAGACGGTCGGACCTGGAGAACCCGAGGGGTCGGAGGGGTTTTCACATCATCACGTGGCGACGGCGGTGCAGAGAGAGGTGGTCGGACCGGGAGAAGGAGCGATCGCACTCAGTGCAGCGGAAAGGTTTGATTCCTGTGTGCTTGCGGAAGTGTCGGGTGAGCTCGTCGGAGCGGGCGAAGCGCCAGGTGCAGCCCTCCCAGGTACAGTGGTACGGCTTCTCTCCTGCACAAATACAAGAAGGTGTTCAGGATGCTGACTCAGAACTTGGCTTTGCCCCCCACGGACGGTTTGGTGCAGACCGCTCCGTCTTACCCGTGTGTATCCTCCTGTGGGCTTTGAGGTGGGAGCTCTTGGTGTAAACCTTTTTACAGCCTTCATAATCACACATGTGGATCCGCCGCCTCTTGAGGTCTAGCGTGTCGGGATCGACGGGCTCCAGATCCATGATTGACCTGGAGCACAGAAAGGAAAGAGTTACTGGTGTTGGTCATGGAAAGCCTCACCAACAGAGAAAACCAGTTCACTTAGTGGTTTTGATGGCTTTTAGTTAGCTCCTCTGTTCTAAAACACTTTGTTTGTCGGTGACAGCGGAACGCGGCGAGAGGTGGACCAACGGAACCAAGGTGCTACTTTGGTCTGTTGAGCTTGAAGAAGCAGGAGGTGGTTGGTCCAAACCTCAGCTGTGGTCAATGGAATAATGGTCTGGAATAATCTTGGATAATTTTGGAAGCATGCCAGGAGAAAATCAGGAACATTAAACATGTTCTGGTCTGACGACACGGACAAACAATCGTGTTACCTGCAGGGACGGATTTAGGACTGAAGAAGATCCGGGGCTTAACACACACACACGTGACACGCACTAGTCAGCATCATATATATTTGTCTTGTACCACATAATTTTTAATCTGAAGCTACATATGAAGCATGTTCGGGGCAGAGTATTGTTCCTGTTAGTGTTTAGTGTGAGATGATAGTAAATATTCCCTTTCTTTCTCCAACAACTTTACCTGATAAGCTAACTTTAGGCAAACCAGCAGCACAAAAAATATTTTCAAATAAGACTCACAAACCTGAGTCAGCACCAGTCTCATCAAAGCTGGGGTTCTGTCGTTGTACTTTTTGTCTAAAAAACGTCCTTATGTCCATCTTCACTCATGCGTTTCAGGCAGAGTGTGTAGAAGAAGCCGGCTGCTGAAGGGCTTCTTCTTCGTTGGTGGAGGCTCAGGCAGGCTGTAAACAAACTACTGCCAGCTGCTCCCTCTCTGTTGGACTTTGGTACTGCATGTTACTTCCGCGATTTAGATCCGGGGCTTTTCATTAAACATTCGGGGCTTCAGCCCAAGTAGCCGGGCCTAACGCCGCCCCTGGTTACCTGTAGCCAATCAGAAAGCGAGGTGATGGAAGCATACTCCACACTGGTCCTCCTCCATGTTTGTTTCCTCTAAACTAGTGATGCACCGATATGAAAATTTTGGGTCGATACCGATATTAAGATCACTGTTATGGCCGACAACCGATATGCTGACATTAATGCTTCTAAAATCAGCAGATTTTTTTATAGAGTGAAAATGATTAAAGCTGAATTTACGTTATTATGAACACGCAACACACACACACTTACGGTTCTGAGATGATTGCATTCACTGTCACATGACTAAACTATTACACATCACCCCCCTCACCCTCTGAAAAAGGCAAACGAATGGAGACGAGATGGAAAAAATATCGGTTGTTAATATCGGCTGGGTTTTATTTATCAAACCGATACCATCCATCCATTTTCATCCGCTTATCCGGAGTCGGGTCGCGGGGGCAGTAGCCTAAGTCGAGAGGCCCAGACTTCCCTCTCCCCAGCCACTTGGGCCAGCTCCTCTGGGGGAATCCCAAGGCGTTCCCTGGCCAGGTGAGAGACATAGTCCCTTCACCGTGTCCTGGGTCTACCTTTAGGTCTCCTCCCGGTTGGACGTGCCCAAAAAACCTCACCATGGAGGCGTCCAGGAGGCATCCTGACCAGAAGCCCGAGCCACCTCAACTGGCTCCTCTCGATATGGAGGAGAAGCGGATCTACTCCGAGCCCCTCCCGGATGCCCGAGCTTCTCACCCTATCTCTAAGGGAGAGCCCAGCCACTCTTCAGAGAAAACTCATTTCAACCGATACAGATATGTTAAAAAATGACTAACATCGGCCGATACCGATATACTGTCCATCCCTACTCCAAAGTCATGTTTGATCTTTGTGATGTTTCCGTCTGACTGGGAAACGTTCGTGTATGAGACCAGTTGGAGTGAAGTTGGTAAGACCAACGCTGATCCGTCTGTGATTATTTATCACCACGTGTGTGGTCTCTCGTGAATTTTAAAATCCTGCCATGTGAACCGGGCTTCGGGCTAAAACTACAGGAACAGAAACGTAGTTCTGCACTTCCCTGGAAAACCAGCGCAGCCTCAAGCCCGATGCTTTTTTACTGAACTACGATGGAAGCACATTCACGTCACAACACAGCAGGAAACAAACACACACAGATGCTGTGAGAGGGGAGCACGTTCAGTCATGTTCCGGTGTAAAATGCAGCATGAGTCGGTGCCATCAGGGATATTAAAGAAGATGTTGCCATCATCTCTGAAATGTGTTTGTTTTTCTATGGAGCATCTAATCACCACAGAATTTACCGCAAGAGGGAAACGGGATGATAACTTGCAGCCACACAGCTGACAGCTGCAGCAGCGCTTCTCAAACCAGCAATGTCAGAGGTGATGGGGGAAGACGCCGTGACAAATGAGCTTCCACCCAGATGGAGACATGAGCGAAAGCAGCAGCAGTTTGCAACTTTTCTGTGAGAAATTGGCTCGAACTTCTGCAAAACGCTCAGCTCTGATGCCGCTGCTTCTCATTTTTGTCCTGCTGCAGAGCGGGTTGTGCAACCGCAGCAGCAGAACCAGAGGCGTTCTGCTAGAAGAACGTTGCAACGCTGCTTCTTTTTGCTCCTTTCAGTTCATAAATGTGGGAACATTCAAAAATGAGCATCAGTAATCCGTAAGCTTGAGATTCGTGCTTTAGCCACCAGGGGGAGTCAGACTCAGCGTCAAACAGCTGCACATCAGATCAGTTTCAGAGACTCTCCCTCTGTCCCACCTTCAGTTACTTCTGCTTACTTTATTTTCACATTAAATAAAACAGAACACACAAACGCCTACGTGCCCTTTATTTTTATTTATTTGTTTTATAAATCCATCTTTATTCTTATCAAATAAAAAATTTATTATTATTATTATTATTATTATTATTATTATTATCCGTGTAGTTTAAAAGAAAGTTTATTTAATCAAAAGCAACGATAAAACTAAAGGAAATAATTAATCTCTGGAGCCGTTTCACAAAGAGGTGTGACGGCAAACGGCATTACATAACCTTGTTTACACCCCAGTTCTGGGACAGCCCTGCCCAGCAACGACACACACACACACACACACACATACACACAAACACACACACACACACACACACACACACACACACACACACACACACACACACACACACACACACACACACACACACCCTGAAAACACAGTTAAGCCAGGCGACCCGCCCGCCGGGCGTGGCAACAGCTTCGTCCTGATTCTCTCATAAACACGCTGGACTCTGCAGCAGATCCTCCGACATGTCCCCACATCTCCACAGAGAGCAGAACATGGTCACACACTCCGGTCTTCCTGAGTCAGGGCGTCTCCAGCGCGTCTCTGCTGTTCTCTGGGTTATATAAGGTTATATAAGCATCCAGCCACGGCTCCGCTGCAGTAATGTAATTAATCAGGAGCCTGGAGGCAAGGGAGGTGACCCACACAAAGACCAAACTTCCCATAAACCCTGCTGCACGTCGGTCCTGTTGACTCGTGTTACAGCTTCTGGAGGCAGCTGACACCACGCTGACCAGCTGGCATCAACATTCTGAAAAAAACTTCACTTACATTTGATTTGCAAATGAAAAACCAGAGTGGTTAGTGTTTTGTTGGCATATTTCATTCCCTTCATCTCCCTTCATCTTCATCTTGGTGTGACCTTTGACCCAGCTCTCACCCTGGATTCTCATGTCAGTTCTCTTGTTGGCTCTTCCTTCTTCCATCTCAGGAACATTGCTAAGCTGAGTCCCATTCTGTCCCGCTCTGAACGTGAGACAGTTCTCCACACCTTCATCTCCTCACGCTTAGACTACTGTAACTCTCTTTTCACGTGTCTGAGCAGAGCCTCCCTGAACCGTCTACAGGTGGTTCAGAAGGCCTGTGCTCGGCTTCTGACCAAATCCTCCAAACACACCCACATCACCCCGCTTCTCCTCCAGCTTCATTGGCTGCCAGTCAACTTCAGGGTTCATTTCAAGATCCTGGTTCTGGTCTATAGGGCCTTACATGGACAAGCACCATCTTACATTGGTGATCTTCTTAGTCCCTACTAGGGTCGTCACGGTGTGAAAATTTAACCTCACAGTTATTGTGACCAAAATTATCACAGTTTTCGGTATTATCGCGTTTTATTTTAAACGTGTTACATTTTCACACAATTAAATAAACCCTGTATGTCAGGAAGTATTGTCCTCAGTTTGTGTCTAAATTTTGCCTAAAATCTCTTATTTTGTAATTATGTTGTTTATTTGTTTACATTGTTCCCCTTTAGTCTTTAAAATACCAATATTTGACCATAACTTCTTATTTTTTGTCTGTTTGATGTCATCATTTTAAAAATATTAGATCAGATGATACTCAGTACTCAAGTAGCCTTCTAATCAGATACTTTTTTACCCTTACTTGAGTAATAAACCCTATATCAGGAAAATATTGTCCTCGGTTTGTGTCCTTCCAGTGAGCTTTGCAGATGTGGGAAAATGTCATCAGGCAGTAATCATTGTTAAATTCATAATTATTCTCGGAGAGAGACCAACTCTTATCTGCCCCTGGGAGTCCCGTAATGCATAGCGTCATTTCAACATGGCGGTGTCCGCGACACGGTTTATATGCAGGTAGTGGCGCTGCGGCTGCTTTATACAGCGACTCGTTGCATTCTCCCTCAACCCAAATCCTCGGATCACGCATTTTAGCTAAAACGCTAACGTTAGCTTGCCTTGCGTTGACTGTAGAGTTGTGGGTGATGGTCACGCAGATGTGTCATGAGATTTGAAGCGTTGCTGCCTTTCACAGACACTTTTTCTGCACGTGCTGCAAACAGGATAGCCGTCTTCTATCAGCTGTCCCTCTGCATTCTTCAAATATCCAAAAAACGACCGTACTTCCCACTTTGTCTTCTTTGAGGGATAATAAATGTCCTGAGCGCAGCAGTCTCCTCCTTTGGCCATTATTTCAGCTTTAGCTTCAAGAAAGTTTTGGTTGTAAACAACAAAGTGCACATGTGCCGCCGGGAACTTCAGCAGATGATACGGTGGCTGGTAAGGGTCAGCGCGCCTACACCGCAGCCACGGTAACCCACCGCGATAATATATGTTTTAAAAACAAGACGGTTATTATTGTCAACTTTTTTACCGGGGTTTACCCCTACACCGGTTACCGTGACAACCCTAGTCCCTACACCCCCAGCAGGTCCCTGAGGTCCAGTGATCAAAGCCTACTGGTTGTGCAGCACCAGGCTAAAGACCAAAGGTAACAGATCATCTGCTGCTGTGGCCCCCAGACTCTGGAACTCTCTCCCCCTGAGCCTGAGATCAGTGGACTCAGTGGTCTCCTTTAAAAAGCAGCTGAAGACTCACTTGTTCAAGCTTTGGTGTGACCTTCATCACCCTCTCCTTGTTCTCCTCTCCCCACCTATTCCACCTTCCTCAGGACCCACTGATTTCCCTCTTTCCTATTCACTCTCTCTCCTTCTTTACATTTTTTTATCACAATTGTCTATTTTTGCTCATTTTAAGTATATTTTAAACCATTTTCTAAATGATTTTTATATTTTGCATTTTTTGTTTTTGTGAAGCACCTCATGATTTTTATCTTGAGAGTCGCTATAGAAAAGATCTTTTCTTCTTCTTCTCTGGGGTATCCAACAGGCGGCCCACAGGCCAGAGCAGGTCCTCAAGCCACCTCTCTTTGGCCCTTGAGCCACATGTAGTGGCCTCCATGCTGTAATTTGTCTCTGAAGCCTCCTTAGCTGCCGTTAGCGTGGGCGAGTTCCTTTCCACCAGCGTCATCAGCAAAGGTTAACGTTCTGGATGCATTACGTTTTGAGTCTGTTTTTCACGCGCTACACTTCTAAAACACGTCAAACTCCACAGTTTAGATTGGGCCAGATAGGAAGTCAAACACGAAAGCAGTGTAAAACATTTAGAAACTTTCAAAATAAAGTCACAATTTCCTGTGAAGCCCTCGTAACCGATGTAAGCGGAACAGAAAATGAACTGCAGACCTTTTTGGATACATGCTGCTGTCTTTCTCCTTGCTTGTTATTGTGTGGACTTCTGAAATCACGTGTGGTGTTGCAGTTCTCCTGTGATTTTGTGACTTTTGGCCACTTTCTTCAACGGTCTGGACACCCCTGCTCTAATCCATAAATATCCTCTAATATTTAGCATTTTCCTGTTTGTTGCCAACATGTAACATCTGCCAGAGAAATCAGAAGGGACCAATAATTCTCCTTTTGCTTGCTGCACACATAAACAGTAATGCAGTTGTCCTGACAGAGCTAACGTCTGATCTAAAAAATGTCTCATTATCATAGCTAATCAGGCTAAACATCCTGCCGCGTGAAGCTGTATTCAGTAGATATTTGTCTTTAGCCTCTTTTATAAGACAGACCATCGGGCATGGACGTAATTTGGGGGGGGAACAGGGGGGACATGTCCCCCCCCCCACTTTTCCCAAAGTCAAGTTTTGACCCCTGCACATTTTACCATACAAAAACAATATTACGCTATATTAAATTGACACTGGTTGAGCTCTAGGACCAAGCGGAGAACAACTGTTTGTGTTGAAGCCTGTTTCCCATTAGAGCATACTGTAAAGATACAACCCCCCCCCCCCCCACCCCCACACTTCTAAAGTGAAAATTATGTCCATGCCATCACGTCATTACAGAGTGATAAATCCATATTTGTGGGTCTCGTAAATGTGGCAAGGAGCAAAGGGGAAAGGTGATAAAACTCCATGCTGATGTGCTTAGCCTCGTAGTGATATTGCCGCATGAGCCCCTCGCCTCTGATGGCTAAATGTGTGTCAGCCCCGCTAATCCCTTTGGAGAGACTGTGGGAGCGCCCCCCCCCCCCCCCCCCGCAAAAGAGGGTGTGCGTTAGTAGGGATGGGTACTTTTTAAGGTACCGACCGAATCCCACAGTACCGACCGAGCACCGATTCACTTCATTTGAAACGGTGCCTCGTTTTGGTACCCGTCCTTCACAACGAGAACTTGCCTAGACAGCTGCGCATGCGCAAGAGCGTAATGTCATCGGTCGCTGCGAGCGAGTTGTAAACAGAGCAGCATGGGTAGGTAAATAAAATGTTTAAGATAACGTTAGCTTGATTTGTTAGCTTCCGTTTCACTAATGGTGCGTTCGCTTTCTCCTCGGAACTCCGAAATTCCGACTAGAAGAACATAAACGCGCTCTAAAGTTTGGCTTCACTTTACTAAATGCGACGAGTGATTGGGTGAAGATGAAACTAGTGACAACGATTTAAGTGTGAGGCATCATCGTTTTAATCTGCTCCAGCAGTTAAATAAACTGTTTAAGATAACGTTAGCTTGATATGTTAGCTTCCATTGCCACCATTGTTATCAGCTAATGGTGCGTTCGCTTTCTCCTCGGAAATTCTAGCTTCCCAGTAGGAAAAATCAAATGAAAAAAGACGGTAAAAGGAATGAAGATACACAGTAAATTTAGCTCACAGTAAAGATGTTTGCTTCAGTTTAATTATCAGCTTATAAAATTACAAGGACGATGTTAAAATACAAACAGTTGAATGATATTTATCGTGATATTTATCAAATATGGTTATAAATTGAGAAAATATATATTTAATTATAAAAGAGAATTAAAAATATTAAACACTCAAAAGTATTGAAAATTGGTACCGTTAAGTACCGGTATCGATTCGTAGGTACCGGGAATTAGTACCGGATTGATTCAAATGTCAAAGGTACCCATCCCTACTTGTACTGCCGCCGAGTGCCGGCCGGGAGGGATGTAGACACAGATAAACATGGCCTCTCACTAGTATCTTTCAACCACCTACAACATGACAAACTGGATGGACGCAGAGACCATGAAGCTTCTGGCCGTGCGAGCGGACGAACAGATTAGTTGCCTTTTTACGGGGACGGTGAGAGACGGCCAGATGTTCGACAGAGTGGTGAAAACACTGGCTGAGCGGTCAAGCGGGACAAAAAGCAGGTCACATCAAAACTAAAGGTCCTGAAAAAGAAATGTCATCAGTCTGACGTGTCTTCCGTCTGACGCTGAACGCGTGACCCTGTACGTCACATGCGGGGGGGCCGCCCAGCGACCTCCCTTTATCCCGTCTTGGTGTGAGAGGTGCCTGATGGCAGTTTATTCTAGCTTCAGCTTTGCTACTATAAATGCCAAAACCCTCCCCAGGGAGCCGCGGCAAATCCCGTTTTACAAACGCTCTGGTCCTGTAAAAACAGCTCCTGATGCAGCCTTAAAACTGCAGTAAATGCATTTGTAGACAAGACTCACCCTGCGTCGAGGCTTTGGGCGCTGAGGGAGGCCGACCCGGACTCAGTACCGCTCTCTGCGTCGCTGTCACTCTGGTACTCCACCGGAGACGTCGAGCCCGGTTTAATACGAACTAAGGATGAGCGGAAATCAGTGTTTTAAAAGACGAAGAGAAAAAGTGGAGATTGAAGGTGGCATTCAGGAAAAGAACAGAGGTGGAAACAGAGGATAGAACAGCGGGGGGGGTGGGGGGGTAATTAGAGGAACACTGTCAGGATTTCAGTGTGTTCTGCTATGCTGCAGCAGTAATGGAGCACATGTTGGATCCTTCCTCTGCGTTCTCGTCCTTTACGTTTTCTTTACTTTTTAGACTCAAAGCTGAAAAATAATTATGTGAACAGATGTTAATGAAACACTCAGAAGCTAATTAGCAATTAAGTGGAAGACAAACCTCCCGAGGCGCGGGGGTTTAAGTTTTAAAAGATCCTCGTTTATCACAAAGGAAGGCCGTTGGAGCGAAGAAACATCGAGACACGTTTCTCTGCTTTCAGGAAGTTACATTTCACATCCATCTCAGCCGAAGTTTGGAAGACTGACAGCGTTTATCCTCCTAAACCTTCCAGAAGGAGATTCTGCCCGATGAGATGGAACGGGAAGAGATGAATCCTCAGAAAAACGCTGAATTTAAAAGAACCTGCAGATCTCAGCTGAACAGGGCATAGACCCAGTCCTGCAGCTGCTTTGGTGACTCTCAAGCAACAAAACTCACATTTCCTACAACATGCTGCACCAAGAAGGCCCTACGAGAACTTCATCAGGATATTTATCGTCCCCTGTGAACACCTGGCCAGATTTCAACATAACACTTGGAGCGTTGTCAACAACTTATGTAATCTACATGTTCTACGGCTGACACAGCTCACTGACCAAAAATGGCATCGATTTTTGGAGTTGTGAGCTAAAATCTGGTGTCACGAAAGCCGAGCACTGTCCCAAAGACAGAAGCAAATGTCTAATGTGTCGCATAGATCTCTGCTTCACACCTTGTCATGAAGTCAGTTCTGCTAAAACATCACAGGATTTAAACCAAACCCCCAGAAAGTCTTCAGTGGACCTTTGTCTGGGACTGGTAACCTTTTAGGGTCACCCTCATCTACATAAAGATGGCCACCGAACCACATTTGAACCAGTCTTAGCTGGAATCTCTCATTTTGACCTTTGTTGGAGGACAAACCGGTACGTGATGCAGCCCAGCCAAACATATGAGAACGTGATAATTGTTGAATATTTGAGTTGAAAATACAAAGGATGGCACTAAAGCTACCCCCCAAAACCCCCCACCCCCACCCCACCCCCACACACACACCACCCTCCAACCCCTCCTTCTGTTTGCTAGCTGCAGGAATGTTGGAGTCAAGCTGTTCAAAGTCCAGAGGAGCGGGGGAAGGGGCGGGGTGAAGTGGGGTGGGGTGGCTGGAAAGGAGATGGGAGGAATTTGGGTGGAGTGTATGCATACGTGGGGAGGGTCACACTCACACACCAGATTTGTCTCCCGGGACAATCAGGACATTCCCCCGCTGCAGCTTTCCTTCTTTCAAAGGCAAAACAAATCCATCTCGTCTTCCTCCCGCCCCACCCTCTCCTCCTCCTCATCCTTCCTACTCAACCCTCCCACCTTCACATCTTCGAGCTCCCTTTCCCTCTCCACCTTCCTATCCAACCTTCCATCTCCTCCTCCTCCCACACAGCAGCCTCCAGCTTGATCCCTCTGCAGGTACACAAGACCAGGGCAAGTTTTTATTCATCCTCTCCCACTTTCAGCTCTCCCTCATTCACTCACTCACTCACTCTCGCTCACTCGCCTACTCACTCACTCACTCACTCACTCGCCCAATCACTCGCTCACTCGCCCAATCACTCGCTCACTCACTCTCTCTCGCTCACTCGCCTACTCACTCACTCACTCACTCACTCACTCGCCCAATCACTCGCTCACTCGCCCAATCACTCGCTCACTCACTCTCTCTCGCTCACCCGCCCACTCACTCACTCACTCACTCACTCACTCTCTCTCGCTCACCCGCCCACTCACTCACTCACTCACTCACTCACTCACTCTCTCTCGCTCACCCGCCCACTCACTCACTCACTCACTCACTCACTCACTCACTCACTCACTCACCCAATCACTCGCTCACTCACTCTCGCTCGCTCGCCCACTCTCGCTCACCCGCCCACTCACTCGCTCGCTTACTCTCGCTCGCCTGCCCACTCACTCGCCCACTCACTCTCTCACTCATTCTCTCGCTCGCCCGCTCACTCACTCGCCCGCTCACTCACTCGCCCGCTCACTCACTCCCTCCCTCCTCTGGACACATCATGCTCTCTCTGTTTGAGTATTAGACAGATAACTGCTGTCGGCCATTCCCAGCATGCACCTGGCCCGACTCACGAGACTCACAGTGAAATAAAAAAGTTACAAGGGAACCTGGAAACATCCCTCTGTGTGTGTGTGTGTGTGGGGGGGGGGGGGGGGGGGGGGACTACATCTACGGTCACCCAGTTAACCGTCAGACGCTGTTAATCGATGTTAAAGACGATTTATTACTTTTCTGAGAGATTTGGAAGGAAGAGTAAATAAAACAACTACGCTGGTTTCTGCCTGTTACATGAGTGAGTGGAAAGGGTCTCTGGGACTTCTGCACATAAACCAGCAGCAGAGAGCAGCTCCACATTTATCTCCTCCAACTCCTTCCAAACTCCTGACAAGACAGTTTTGGAAGACGTGCTGTGAACTGATGGGAAATGTAGTTTAGGATTAAAATCTGATGATGCATTAAAGCTGCAGCTTCTGGCATGAGCGTAGCGTGACACACTGTTGAGGGAGAACAGTCCGAGAGCATCCCCGCTTGTGTGCTGCAGACTTTCACGGAGGATTTCCAGGGCGACGGCCTCCGTCGTTTACATTCCTGAGTCCAGACCAGCCTGGTTTAAATTAGAAACCAAGATGAACCAAATCAACTTCACCGAGGGACAGTTGGGGGGGTGGGGGGGTTCCTCAGTGAAACTCTGCCTTCCCCCTGGGTTTACTCAAGGATGGGCTGCACTTTTCCCAACCTTCATCTTTATGGTAGCTGAAGGAGAATCAGCCGCATCAGGCTGAGAATCAGAGGAGTCAAAGGCATTTCCTGCAGGAGCAGACTCCTTAAAAAGTTATGTAACACGTTTCCTAACTGGTTTCCTAATTTAGCTGAGACAATCTACCATCTGGCACGAGTGGAGCACTTCTACAAATGCGAAGGGAGATGGGCAGGAAGTTAAAAATAAAATAAACACACGCCAGCTCAAACTCTACTATTTCTGAGAAATTATGGGGCGAAAAAAAAAACTATTTAAAGACCAATTTATGTTCAATTGGTACTTGTTACCAGCTCAGTGGTCTAGTGGTATAAGTGCCCGGCCTGAGATCGGGAGATCGTGGGTTCAAATCCACGATTGGATCACACCAAAGACTTTTAAAATGGGACCCAATACTCCCCACTTGACACTCAGCTTAGAGGAGTCAGAATGAGGGGTTAAACCACCAAATGGTTCCCGAGCGCAGCCATGTCTGCAGCTCACCACTCCCCCAGGAGATGGGGCAAATACAGAGAACAAATGTCACCACACACCAGCGTTAGTCTGTATGGTTGACACATGATGGCGCTGCAAACTCCGTTAGAGGTTTTGTTGCATTTCTGACACAAAGTGTCTAAATTGCATCACCACACTTCATAATTTATGCTGTTTATTTGCAACTTGGTCACCAACCTCATCCTAAGCCGTCTTTCAACTTTAGACTCACAAAAACACGCTCTTTTGCAAGGGAATCGAGAACTTTTGCAAATGTTTCAAGATATTATGGAAATTGTTTGCATTTCGCCTTGTTTTGCAGTTTGTTTGCAAACCCTTCCCTCAACTTTAGATTCACAGAAACTAATATGAGACAGGTTTAAAACAGGTTTGAGACTGGTTCGAGATAAGTTTCCTGATGTCTACAACTATACAACCATTTTGAGAGGCACAATGATCCATGAATTATTTGATCAAATTTCAAAAACACAGAGTGTGGCCCTAACTCATGTTGCAAACATTTTGAGACATTTTGAAATGCACTTTGCAAATTGTGCCCAGGACAAAAGCATCTCGGAAGTGGATAAATATTTTGCTACCAGACTCACCAGATCCTTCAGACCGCCCATCGCTGCCTATGAGCGGCACCGTGATGGCTGCTGTGGCAACGCCGTCTGTTGGCATGGTGGTGTAGACAACAGGCAGCGACTGCACCACCACAGGTATAGTCTGCAGCTGGCCCACCTTGCTCGGCATGCTGACTGAGGGGATTGTATGGATGACATGGAGGATCTGCTGGCCCCCGGCACCCTGTGTGGCCAAAATGGAGCCTGGTGAGAGGACCTGAAGGAGAACAAACAGGGTAATGGACTGTTTCTCTACTGTCTGACCTTTTTATAAATGAGACAAGAGGTGGTGGAAGATAATAGTTACCATAGAGCCTATGGACTGTACCGAAGAGGGGACCGGCGTGGCTGAAAGGCCGGGCTGGGCCGTAGTGCTGCTGGGTGCGGGGTTGACCGTAGTGTTTGTTGTGGAAGAGGAGCGAGGCTTGTTGAGAGACAAGTCGACGGGTTCGGTCTGGTCCTCGGTGGGGCTCGAGTTAGGTGACGAGGGCTCCACCTTGAACTCTGACTTCACCTTCAGGTCTGTCGGCTGCAAGCAGTCATCACCTACGTCCGCCTGCTGAGACAAGACCAGACATTAGAAACGGGATTAAAAGAAGAGTTTGAGAACTTTAAGATCTCTGGAGAAGTGAAAGAGCTCAGACTTCTCCTTTTAGTCCTGCAATTTTCTGCTTTAGCTACAAAAATATGCTAACATGATCCATCATGAGACCCGGAATGAAAATCTGAAGAACCACTGATTTGTTTTAACATCTGCATCTTCGTAAGGACAATAAAGATGGATCTTGAGTTACTTGCCAAGAGTTCTGTTTCAGCAGAAGTGGGAATGCTGCAATGGAGATCTTTTCCTTCCCTTCCTATAACCAGCATCCGGCGTTTTCCCACTAAGCCCTGTTTTTTTATCGGCCTCCTTAGAGGATCGGAGCACCAATCCCCTCTCTAGCCACCCAGGGCTCAGCTGCCACGCAGAGCCAAAGTACAGGGAACAATGGCTGCTGTGTGGTGCGCTGAGAAGAGGGGGGCTGATGAGAAAGTGCGACGGACAGAGACAGGAGGGCTGCATGGGTATGAAAAGAGACTGGTACTGGCTGAGAGGGGTGAAAAAGAGGAGAAATGGAGTGGGAGAGGGAGCAGGAACTGGACCAAGTCCAGGTCAGCAGAGCATAGTTTGGCTGCAGGCGAGGAGGAGTGGGTGGGGACTCTGCTACACCCTTTTATCAGGTCAGACAGTTCAGCTGGAGGCTCGGTTTGCTAAGGTGGATGAAAGCAACTCAGCTAACTGCCTTCATGCATGCAAACAGCCTCGAATTGTGGAGGGAAATGTTGGTTTTGCATGTTTTATTGCATAATGTGTCACAGTTTAATCTTCTAAAACGACATTTGCTTTAGCAGGTGCCTGTTTTCTCTCTTAGGTCCAAGAAATTATTCAGTTGAATGGAAACCTGATGACAGCGAAGCAAAAATAAAAAAGAAGGACCTAACTTGATTATCGTGAGACGGTAAAAAGGAAAAAAATCCTGAAAAGAAAACCAAGTGTGAAAGAAGTGAGAGAGGCAGGAAGAGGACAAAGACATGGAAACGGCAGAGTGGGTGGGAAAGGCCTCGCGTTGTCATGGAAACTAGGAGCCATCAGCTGACTCGATGTCCTCCACTCGTTCCACCCACCCGCCATCTCCCTCAGCTTTCATCACTTCAGCTTCACCTTTCCCTCCATCACCCCCCCTTGTCGTGACCACACCTCTTTCACCTTTCTCTCCCACACCTCCGCCCCTTTCTGCAGCATCTTTCGATCTGTGCATCCACCACACCCTGGCTCGCCTCACCCTCTCATCCCTCCAGTGGCTTCGTTTCTACCAACTTGCTCTCGGAATTTCCTGGTTTTCCCTCTCCTCACAAACTCGATAAAATCCTCCCTAAAAGAGAATGGAGGGAGGAATCTAACAGAGAAGAGGAACGGAAAACCTGTTTAGGAAAAGATAAAGGAGGGAAAAGGCAGACCGAAGAGGAAAAATACCCGTTTTTCTACTGCAGGTGATATCGATCAAAAATGTTCGTGGTGTTAAATGTAAAAACCAGCAGCTAAAAAGAGAAAATACCAAGAAAACTAGATTAAATATAATGAGATGTTGATTTTTGCAGCGTTAAAAACCTTTAAACTCTTTTTTTCCATCCGGACGTTTCGCCACAATCAGTCAATCTTTTCTATTTGAATGGTGTTACATTCCTTTTCTAAATAATAACAAAAATATAACCTATCCAGAGGCTAATTAAAGCTGCAGCAAGAAAACATTTTTTATATAGTAAGAAAGTAAGTTACATAACACTCATCACAGACATGGAATCACAAAGTGCTTCACATAGATCGAAACAAAATAAAACAAAGCCATTAAATCATAAATGGATTAACATCATAAAATCAAAATGCTCTCAAAACAGAATCAGATTAGCATAAAAAATAGTCATTAACAGATGAAAGATGAAAATTTTGAGTTAAAAATTAGAAAACTAAAGATTTAGGTAAAAGAAGCTTTAAATAAAAAAAGTCTTCAGCTGTTTTTTAAAGGTGTCCAGACTGTCAACGCTGCGTAACGATAAAGGAAGATCACTTCAGAGTCAGGGTGCAACAGTCTGGAAGGAGCGATCAACTTCTAGAAGGTTCTGGTGTCAGGACCTGAGGGCGCGGGTTGGAGCATAAGGCTTTAACAGTTCAGTAATGCAGGGAGGAGCTTGACCACGTAGAGCATTGAAAGTTATAGTCAGGACTCTAAAGTTAACGGGTAACCAGTGCAGAGACATCAGAATAGGAGTGATGTGTGCTCTTCTGTTTGCTCCAGTTAGGAGCCTCGCTGCAGAGTTCTGGACCAACTGAAGGCGGTCAAGGGCTGTTTTGTTAAAACTTGTGAAGAGTGTGTTACAGTAATCTAGACGGGAGGAGATAAAGGCATGGAGAACCATTTCAAGTTCATGTTTGGACACCAACCTTCGAAGTTTGGAGATATTTCTTAAGTGATAAAAACAGTTTCGGACCAACGTTTTTGAGTGACCTTCAAGAGACGTTGATTGGTCAAAAATAACACCCACATTCCTTAAGTTTGTCTTGACGGCAGAGGATAAATATACATCTATATTAAAACAAACATGGAGCACGTTTTGGACACAGGACCAGCAGTGATGTCATCACTCCACGTCTCCAAAGTAATAATAATAATAATAAATTTTATTTGTAGCGCCTTTCAGGACTCTCAAGGTCACTTTACAGAAATTGCATAATACAGATAAAACACTCCTCAGCAAGTTAAAATTACATATCAGTCAATCAATTAAACAAATACAAGTAAAAGTGAAAACCAGTAAGTGTTAAAATACTAAAGATCAAAAATAAAAATGTAAACAAATACATCAAGTAATCAGTCAATATAACGTTATCATAAAGATATACATTACCCATTAAATCTACATAGTATAGCTGAATTACATACACAATCAACTAAAATCAAATTAGGCATTCAGAACGGCCTGTCGAAACAAATGAGTTTTCAGTAATGATTTGAACTGAGTGACAGACCTGGCCATACGGATGTAATGGGCCATTCCCATCTGTACCGGGTCGGCCCGGGCCGGGTAGCATAGGTTGTTTACGTATCTGGGTGGCCTGGTATTTTTCCGGGCCAACCAAGGCTCATCCTCAGCCCTCTTCTGGAGGGGGTCTGCTTCAGGCCGACCAGGCCCAACACACCCACTCTCCACCGACTGATCAAGTGCCGTGTAACCCTCCCCTTTAATCAAATCTTCGGATTGGCCTTGCGGTGTTTACATTTAGTATTTGTAGTGATGTCACAAAATCGCGCCAAACTTCAGCATCCATTTTTTGCTTGTCTTCTCCCTGCTCGCAGACCTCATCTTCGAAACCCTGGAGTAATGAGGAGGTTGAAATCTTCCTCTCTTTGCTCGCCGACGACAGAATCCAGCACGAACTGGACGGTTCTGAGCGAAACGAGAAGATTTTTCAGGGGCTTGCACAAGCAATGTCCACCCACAGCTACGAACGCACCTCCGAGCAGTGCCGTGAAAAAATAAAAAACTTAAAGCCGAGTGCAGGTCCGTCAAGGACCACAACAGCAGGAGTGGGGCAGACCCGCGACACTGGAAATGGTTTACCGACATGGACGCCATTTACGGTGAGAGGCCTGTGAGTAATGGCCGGGAGAGTGGTGTGGACACAGCCACTCCAGCTTACACTGGCCCTCAGGACAACGGTGAGTGAACACTTATCATAATAATTAATAATATGACCTCCGTTTGTACTACACTGTACTATAGTGCGGAGAAAATGCTGTGCTAGCTTTGGGTAGCGCTGATATACAAACAAAAGGCTAGGCTAACTCCAGGTTAGTTGTGGTATGCCTACTAGCCTAGCTTGCCCATTAACGTCTTTGGTTAGTATTTGTGCATATTAAGTTATTTATTGTTTTCTCTTTATAAAAGATATAACTCTGGAACTGTGCGCTGATGAGAGCCAGGATGTGCCCGACACCGGGGACATGAACGCTGGGCCCTCATCTGGCGACTGCGGCCGTAGCTGTAGCCCAAGCGTCTCGGCACCATCGGCGGACAGCAGACCAAGCTACGGTGAGTTCATTTGCAACAACATCAAAATATGACAAGCACGTGTAATTACATATACATCGTTTTGGCGTTTATTCAGGAAAAAGGAGGGGGAGGAGCAGCATCGCATCACCGTTGTTGGAGACGCTGGTGGAGAGTGACGCGGGGTTCCTTGAGGCTGCGAGGAAGAAGAACTGTCTAATGGAGCAGTACGTTGAGTCAGAGGCGGAAGACAGACGCCTGCAGAGGGAGGAGAGACTTCAGGAGAGGGATGAGAGACGAGAGGAGAGGATAGAACAGCGGGAATTCAACCACGCTTTCTTGGATGTGCTGCGTAGTTTGGTGTCTGCGGTCGAAAAATCAACTAAATAAATGACCTGCATATGTTTTTATTTTTGTTATTAAATAGAGGTGCAATAAAGTGTTTGACATTGCAACGTGTAATCCATCACTGTGTCCATTTGACAGAATGTGAAGTGGAAGGGTCCAGTTATAGTCTCAATATAAAAATATATGTGCTAAAATAGCATACACCAGCCTTGGATATTTGCTTTATTCAACTTTGAGATTTATATAGGAATAAATACCAGGTAGGTGTCAGTGTAGACAATATTAGGTCATGTGTCAGCAGGAGTGTGGAGAAGGATCAGAAGCTCAAATGTGCACTCCACACATGGCTAATAAGAACTTTTGTCAGTCAGGCATCAATGTAAACGAGTCCAAATATTTACTTGCACTTGCCCTAAGAACCAGACTTGAGACATATGGCTAAGCCTTGGACGTGCATAAAACAATTGCTTAAGTCAGCTTTATCTAGCTGATCTGCATCAATTCGGACATGATGTCCATATAATTTATTTGAATTTAAAAAATTGTAGGTTTTTTTTTATTATTCTTTTTGTCAGCAGGCGTATTTAGAAGTTTCAGAAGCTCAAATGTGTACAGTCCACACTT